CACATCATTGTCTTTTTTTCTTTCCTTCATAAATTCTGAGAGAGAGAGAAAGAAAAAAAGACAATGATGTGTTATTCTCGGTGGCCCTAGAATAAGATAGAATAATGATCACGTTGAATCCGACACGAGATGTTACATGAGTCATGAACAGAAAGGCAAGAAAAAAAAACGTCGAGAAAGAAAAGGAAAGAAACGAGGGGCTCGCTCGATCTATATATATATGCAAAGCAATGAAAAAAAAATGCACAAGAAAGAAATAGCTACGCGCCGCACACACATACACATACAATAGAAAGGCCAACAAGTACGATTTAATTTTCTTATAAGATATTCTTAATATTTTACAAAAATGGTTCGTGAAGCTGATATATTACCAACTGAATATGGTACAGTTGAACATTTTGCATCGAAAATAGCAGCTGATGATGGTATACAAGTCGAAGATTTACCATTAAAAGATGATTTATCATATAAACATCGATCAAGTATAACAGACGATGAATCAGGTTATTCTGAAACAACTACAACATCAGCACGTTCATCACCAATTCAAACATTAACAGACAATGATTATGAATTAGCATCAGCATTAAGTGATGATAGTAAAAAAGAATTTTGTTCCGATATGTGTTTAGTATTTCATGCTGAATTTCAATTAACATTCGGACGTTATTTTACATCAGATCATTGGACATTATTACCAATTACAGCTGATGGTTCATGTAAATTATCAACTGATGCTTTATGTGATGTTGAAATAGCTAAAGTACGTTTTGAATGTGATTCATGTGCACATTGTTGGACATCCATGCGAGGTCAAATATCATTTTTTTATGATTGCAAATCTCATATACTTTACTTCAAATTATTTACACAAAATTGTGATCAATGCGGAAGTTTATCAACACCATTATGGTATCCCGAAGAAGTTTGTCGTGTAATTAAGAATGTATTTGTTAATGTTCAACAACAATTTTATCCAGATTTAGTAACACCAATTAAATCAAATCATTATCGTCGTTTTGGAAATCCTAAAGGACAACATCATGGATGTGAATCATGTCGAGATGGTGTTTGTGTTGCTTTAGCTGCACAACAACTTGGATGTAAACTTGTTAAATGAAAAACTTTATTATACTTTTTTCATAGAGTATAAGTATCATTTGGTATACATTCTCTCGGTGTGTCTAGTCACCTTGTTTTTTTTTTCTTTTTTTTCCTATCTCGGTATTATCTATAATGTATATATGAAAGAGCTCATTGTATCTTTTTTTTTCTTTTTGCTCGTGTAATTTTTTTTTTTAAAAAAAAAGTTTGTCTAGGCTATAGATTTTTTGTCATTGTCGTCTTTATTCAGTTTTTTTTTCGTTGCTATCGTTTATTACGCATTTTTTCTTTGTTTGGTCTGCATTATATACAAAAAACATAAATAGACTATATAGCATCATATAATCTTGTTTAATCGATACAGCATATTTATAGACAACAAACAAACTACTTCAATTAGCAATCTTAAGCTTTTGAGGTCTCGATTTTAATATTTTTACAAATTTGAGTAGCATTCTACACATGAAGAATGTTATAAAAACAAAAAAAATCCTATAATAGTTCTCATTGCTAATTTGAATTAAATTCATAATCTAAAAATGATCATATCAATTATATTAGATAACAATCTAAACTCTGATATTATCAAATAAAGTCAAAATTTTGTATGATGTATGTTATGTGCTACTAATGATAAATATGTTTTTGTTGCGATATATCTCTATATATGATAGACTTTAGTAATTTATACTCATTGTAGTAGAGAGGTCACATAGTGTGCTGACACGTGTTCTTTTTTTCTTTCCTTACAATGAGAGAAAATACGAGAAGAAGAGTTTAATACTCCGGACAAAAAAAGAGAATAAAAGCCATATGGTATCTGGCAATCGCGTTTATATTTATAAACAGAGAAATAATTTAATAATAAATATTTTAACTTATGATTATTGATGAATTTAAATAAATTACGAAATTTTTTTTTATAATAATCTGTCAACTGAATTATAATTAAATATTTTTTTCTTCTTCTTCTTCTTTTGTATTATATTTATTAATTGACAAAAGTCTTGAAAGAAAATAAAATTTTCTATGAATATTAATTCAGCAAGAAAATAAACAAATAAATAATGATGATGACGGGATATTAATGCGTTTCCGTTAAGGAAAGGAAAATATTCAAGAGACTTTTTTTTTGCTGTTATAAATAGTAACTAGTATTCTACATCAATAAAAGATTATGATAACTAACGTCATCTACCTATCAACAATTATCTTATTCCAAGTGTCACCGAAGAAACCAAAGGGAATTTATAAGAAATGGGTGTATATGTGATTGACGGTAAAAGTTTGTAAAGAAAAGAAAAGAAAAGGAAAGAAGTGTCACAACTTGTTCTGATTCATGTCAATGAAATTCTGTCATACATTACTATAAGAACATTGACAAGTCTATATAAATCATTCAGGTACAAATAGGAAATTCTTCAATAGGGACAATATCTTGTTAGAGAAATTTTTTGTTTGATAAAACACTTTTATAGATTTATTAGTAATAGTATACATAAAACACATACATTTGGATTCTTTCAAACTATAAAGCTTCGTTTACACTTGTTCGTCTATTCACAGATTTGAAACGAACAAAATTATTTGAATAGCTTTTGCCCGTAGTTACATTTCTTTTCTGATTGATGAAAAGGCGTAGCAAAAAAAGTCTTAAATTTAAACAAAATTTTGACACTGTACGTTTGAATAATTTTTATGGATTGATTCAGACGAGTAGTTCGCATTTTTCTTTTTTTTTCTTTGATAATACTTATTTTTTTCTAGATCATATTCCATGTCGAATAAACACGATAGACGATTATTACGTGATGATTTAATTGATGATATGATTGAACCGCCAATACTATCATCAACATTAAATAATCCTGCGGCATCTTCATTTTTTATTGATAGTGCAAAAATAAC